ACTAAACTCATCATCTCTCACTTTATCCATAACAATAGACTTCTAATTGGTTCCTCTGCTTTCAACTCAAACTATCTGCCGTATCTCTTTCCTGCTCTCTCCCTCTCCCGGCTCTCTGCTCTAAACCGGAGTAGGCAAACTATGGCCCTTGCGCCAAATACTACAGGCTGCCTGTTTTTGTAAATAAGACTGTACTGGAACACAGCCATGGCCATTAATTTAAATCTTGTCTATGGCTGCTTTCACATTGTAATAGAATTGAATAAACAGTCGCCACAGAGACCCACCCACATGGCACACAAGGCCAAAAATATTTACTATGGGGACATTTACAGAAAACTTGCCAGTCTGTTCTAAACACACTACATGATTATCAGCATCCTGAACATGGCATTCACCTTCACACCCAAGTAGCCTTTGTTAAGACTGTTCCTTTGACCCAGAATGTCCTTCCTTTTCTGATGATCCTCATACTACAAAGCCCAGCTTAAGCGCCAAACATATTCCTGATCAAAATAAAGGGTCATGGGGCACCTGGGTGGCTCAGAGGGTTAAGCCTCTGCCTTTGGCTCAGGTCCTGATCCCAGGGTCCTGAGATCAAGCCCTGCATCGGGCTCCCTGCTTTCCCCTCTCTCTCTGTCTGCCTCTCTGCCGGCTTGTGATCTTTGTCTGTCAAATAAATAAATAAAATTTTAAAAAAATTTAAAAATAAAGGATCATTTCCTCTCCATTTGTATATATCACTTAATAAATTTGTTCTGAGGGGCGCCTGGGTGGGTCAGACGGTTAAGCATCTGCCTTTGGCTCAGGTCATGAACTCCAGGTCCTGGGATGGAGCCCTGCATAAGCCCCACATAAGCCTCGCATCCGGCTCCCTGCCCCGCAGGAAGTCTGCTTCTACCTCTCCCCACTCTCTCTCAAATGTATAAATAAAATCTTTATAAATAAATAAATAATAAACAAATAAATTTTGCTTTGTATCTTAATTACTTATATATCTATTTATATCCATAAGACTGGATGCTCTTTGAAGGCAAGGACAAATGCACCCTATATAACATAATGGCTAAATAAAGATTCAAGGAACTGAACTGAGTGAGACTTAAAGACGTGAAGTGCCTATTCAAGATCATACAACTAACAAGTGATGCAGGGGTCAACTATTCTGACTCCAAATCAGTATCCTAAAAGCTGCATTGGGTTTCCCAGGTACCTACTTCAGTTTGCACTTAATCTAGAGGGCTCTGTGAATCTGCTTGGCACAAAGTTCCTGGCACAAATACTCCAAAAATCAAGTGGGGGTGCGTGGCTGGCTTAGTTACTAGGGGAAGCGACTCTTGATCTCAGGGCCATGAGTTCCAGGCCCACCTCGGGCACAGAGCTTATTTTAAAAAGAAAGAAAGAAAGAAAGAAAGAAAGAAAGAAAGAAAGAAAGAAAGGAAGGAAGGAAGGAAGGAAGGAAGGAAGGAAGGGAGGGAGAAAGAAAGGAAAAATACAAAACAAAACGAAAAAAACCCAAACCAACGAAAACAAAAGCAAAACAAAACAAAAAATCAAGAGAACTGAACACCCAAGGATCCCTCCTTAGAGGTCCATCAGAATGAGGCAGATCTCTGAGCACCAGTGAAAAGAAGGTCCCAGCCTCTTACACACTGTGGTTTTGGTGGTGTCAGTATCAGTCTGCATTCCAGGGAGCAATGCACTGTGGGGAACACCACCAAGAGCATCTAAACCATGCTCCAATCCTCTTCGTCATAGACATGGCCAGGGACAATGGGAAACTTCTGAACAGCTGGATGTTTGGGATCTCACCCTCTTCTCTGTCTTTTTAATAGACTTTACTTTTTAGAACAATTTTAGATTTATAGAAAAATTGCAAAGATAGTACAGAGAGTTCTCAGATACCCAACAGGCAGTTTCCCCTATTACCAGCATTCTACATGATAAAATAAGAAGCATTTGTTACAATTAATGAACCAACACTGACACAGTATCATTGACTAAAAGCCCATGCTTTATTCAAATTTCCTTAGTTTTCACTTAATGTCCTTTTACCCTCTTCTCTTAATCTTAGTGAAGCCTCGGAAGGCAAGAACCGTGCTCTCAGCCAGAGCCACAAGCCAGAATGTAGTATTTGGGGCATTCAATTGGGACCCTTGTCTCATACAGACACAGACTTTTGAGATGCAGTAGCAGAGAAGGCAGGAGGAAATTTATTTCCAGAGACCCTCAGACCACCTTATTAGTCATGGGAATTTGGTAGAATAAGTTCTCAAGGCGTTGGCTGAGACATCCTGATGCAGACCCAATCTGAAGGCAGACAGTAACATGACCATTACCATTACGTAACTGGATTCCTGGCTTACCCATGTCTCTCGCCTGGGCCTTAATCCCCAGCAACTCCCCTGCCTATCAAACCTGAACTCAGCCAAGGCTAAGACTTGGGGAACTAAGATAACTTATCTAGAAGGCTAGGGGTGTCCCTGGGGGTGGGGTACAGAGGCACCATCCTTTTCCTAACAGCTTTTAATCCAGTTGCTGACTTTTGAAAAGAAATCATCTTTTTTATTTAGATACTACCTTCATAATTTAGAGAGCTTTTCCCCACTCTTCTCAAAGTTTATCAGTTTTATAGGACAGTAACTTGAGGCCCTCAAAGGTAGGCCTCAGAAGCTGCAAAGCTTCTGAGGGGCAGAACTAAGTGTGGGTCCCAAGTTAGTGACCTCACTGCAAAACTCACAAGCAATTTTTCAAAAAGTAAACTGTCTCCTTTGTCTAAAGACTAAGGTCTTTTCACTTTTTCTTGTTTTAAACTATGGTGTAGAGATCACAAAACTGTGCAAACAGGGACGCCTGAGTGGCTCAGTTCGTTAAGCGGCTGCCTTCGGCTCAGTTCATGATCCCAGAGTCCTGGGATCGAGTCCCACATGTCACATATCCAGCTCCTGGCTCAGCAGGGAGCCTGCTTCTCCCTCTCACTCTGCCTGCTGTTCTCCCTGCTTGTATTCTCCCTCTCTGTTAAATGAATAAAATCTTAAAACAACAACAACTGTGTAAACCGATACGGCCACAAAGTCATAGGCTCCAGCCTCGAATGGGCCCTCACCACTGCCCAGTAGTCCTTCCAAATTTATTTTCCTAGCTCCCTCTTTCACAACAGCTACTTAACAGCTATCTCTCTTTGAGATGACTACTCTTCCAACTGCCCTCCATCACTCACAGGAGAAAGAATACTCCAGTTCCTTCATTTTGAAAACTCCCTCAACTTTCTCCCCATCCAGCGTACCTACATTTGAACTTTTCCTTGCCTCTCATCACAAAGAAACTTCCCCTGGAAAGTCTAGTGTCCCTCCCTGTGCTCTGGTTTCCATCTCACCTGGCCTCCTCAGGAACCTCCATCAATACCAGCCCCTCTCTCCCCTATCTTCAACCACTCGCTCTGGTTTTTTACATTCGGATTTTGAATATGCTCGACCCTCAGCCACTACATCCCCTTTTATAAACAACCTTTTCTTTCTGCCCCAACCAAGCTTCCTTTGCAAAGGGTTCAATATGACGTCTTCTCTTCACCCATCCATTCATTCTTCAATCTTCTGCAATCTAGCTTCACTCTGAAACTGCGCACAAGAAACAGTTCTTGCCAACAAGTTGCCACTCCCACCTTCTTTTGGCTACTGTAAACCAAGACTTTCTGGGGTGCCTGGATGGCTCATTGGTTAAGCATTTGACTCCTGATCTCACTCAGGTCTTGATCTCACTCACAGTTGTCATGAGTTTAAGCCCCATGGGGGGCTCCATGCTGAGTGAGGAGCCTACTTAAAGAAAAAAACAACAACAAAGAAAAGACTTTCTGGTTCACTTACATTCCCCTTGCACAATTTAAGTATTTATTGAGAGCCCGCTATGACCAAGGCACTGTTCTGGGGGCTGAGCATACAGAGCTAGGTAAGACACGACCCCATTCCCTAAGGAGATTACTGTCTAAGAAGAATGAACAAGTCCACAGGCAATTCCAATAGACAGCGACAAGCACTATGACAGGGGAGTACGAAGCACGAAAAGCACTAGACTTTTCCTCAGTCTGCTTCCTTAGAATTCTGCCAAGGATCCTCTTCTCTTGCCACCCTGTACAACTTCTTGGGTGATCGCACCCTCTGTAACGAAAATTACCATCTGTATGCTGAAAACTTCCAAAAATCTCTCTCTTCTCATTCCTACTAAACTGCAGACCTGAATGGCCAACAGCCTTCTGAATGCTTCTACTTGGATATCTCCCAAAAAGTATTTCTTAAAAGTATAAAACCCAGGGGCGCCTGGGTGGCTCAGTCAGTTGGGCATCTGCCTCTGGCTCAGGTCGTGGTCCCTGGGTCCTGGGATCAAGCCCCAAGTCAGGCTCCCTGCTCAGCAGAAAGCCTGCTTCTCCCACTCCCTCTGCCTGCCACTCCCTCTGCTTATGCTCTCCCTCTGTCAAATAAATAAATATAGTCTTAAGAAAAAAAATACAAAACCCAAAGTTATCAACTGATATAGCCTAACACATCAAACTACCCAACCCAGGAATTTGGGATCCTTGCCTTCTTCATTACCCCTACATTTGTGTACTTAATTTCTGTCTCAGAGTGATAATTCTAAGGTATAAGTCTGATGATGTCACCAGGCTGCATAAAACTTCAATGATTCACAAGTGCACTCAGAATAAAGTTCAGCTTCCTTAAGACAGAGTGCCCAGCCCTTCATGATCTGGTCTCCATTTCTTTTCCAGCCTCATCACTTGCAACCTTTCCCTCCAGCCTATTCCCTGACTTTCTACACTCTACATTCAAACCTATGTCTCAGCCGTACTATACACATACCTGCCGTCTTTCAAAAATGCTGTCCTCTCTCTTACTTCTAAACTTAACATCATCTTTGCCTTCCCTGGGCCTGGCTAGTAACTCCCGTTCTTCAGGTCCTAACTGAGATGGCACCTCCCACCCAGACTACGCAGGCTCAGCTGGGTGCCTCTACTCTGTGCTCCCAAAACACTCTGAGCTTTCCTTTATCCCAGCATGATATTGGAGAGCAATTCTGTCACTGCCCATCTCCCCCTCCAGACTGAGGGAAGATGAGAAGTGACCTGATCAGCCCCATGGCCCCAGCACCTAAACGTCCCTAGTACGGAGTAAGCTGCTCCACAGGCTTCTGTTGAATGAAAAAATCTGTTTTAACAGGTTGCATCTTTCTCCTTCCAAGCCCAGGGGCCCCATTTCCCAGCAGCAACTGCAGGCCCAGCTCAGGGACTGGGGGAGGGGAGGCTGGTGACAGGTGATGACTCCTGCAGGACTCTCACCAAAAAGGGTGAGGAAGCAAAGGGGCAGAGGAAGACCTTTGTATTCTCGGCAGGGAAACAAATCCTTGCACCCTTCTCTGCCAGATCCTGCCTCCCCGCTTAGACTCAGCCTCCCCTCCAGGAGCCCCACTCAAACTCTCCCCAATCAGGCTTCCTGAGATCCCACCTCCCTCCATCAAGTTACCCCTGGCTTCCCCAAAAGACCCCCGCTCGGCCTCTGCCTCTTCCCTCAGCCTCGACTTCCTTTCCTTTTCTCTGAGCCTCCTCCCTCAGACTCGACCTCCTGCTCTCAGCCTCCTCCCCGCTGCCTCCTCCTTCCCCTGACCTCTTTCCTCTGAGCCTCCTCCCTCAGTCTCGACCTCGTTCCGCTCAGCCTCTTCCCTCTGCCTCTCTCTCTGAGCCTCCTCTCTCAGCCTCGTCCTCGCAGCCTCCTCTCTCAGCCTTTCCCCAACGCCTCAGCCTCTCCCAGCCTCCCCGCTCGCATCTCCTCAGCCTCCCTCTCCCGGATCCCGCCCGGCCCCGCCCCCGCCGCGCGCACGGTGCTCACCGTCGTAGTAGTAACAGACTTTCCTCCTGGTGCCCTGAGTCTGCGCCATCTTGCTCGCCTCCCGTCCCTCCCGTCAGTCGGTCCGTCCGGCCTCCCGCCCGCGGCTCAGCTCAGAGTCCGACCCAAGGGGGAGGGGGCGGGCCTTCAGCCCGCTCCGCCTGTCCCCTCCCGGGCTCACCTATAGCCGCGCAGCCCGGGCACGGATCCAGCCAATCAGCGTGCGCAGGGACGGCCCGGAACTCGGCAGGGGGCAAGGGCAGCCCTGAGAGGCAGCCGAGGGCCCCCTGGGCCTATACCAAGGTCTGCGACAGGGGGGTGGGGGAGCTGCCCGGGGACCGTACCATTAGTCCCGGGGGAAGAAAGCAGAGCCGTACACTTCACCGTCCCATTTCGGTGTTGGAAGCGTGCTTGGAGATCAGAAACCAACTTTGTAATTTTGTAGAGAGTCAGCGGAGGTCTACGTGGGGGGTTGTGGGGGGGAAGTGACTTGCACAAGGTCACTGAGCTGATGACACGGCTGAACATGGATTAGAACGTGGGTTTGGAAGAGGGAGAGATAAACTGATAAAGGAAAGAAGACAGCTGTGGGGCAAGTACCGTGCAACAGCTCCACCGACGTTTATCTCAACGATTGCTCACAGCAGCTTTGGAAGAGGCTTTTGATTCCCATTTTATGGATACGGACAATGAACTTCAGATCGCTGTGACCTGCTCAGAGTCACACAATGAGTAATTAGATCCAACTTTCAATAGTACAGATTTTGTGAATGTCCACTGTGCAGCAGAGACACTAACGAAGGTGCAGAACCCAGCCTTTTTTTCTTGTTTAAATTTTATTTATTTCATAGATAGCGAGAGAGGGAACACAAGCAAGGGGATTGAGAGAGGGAGAAGCAGGCCTCCAGCTGAGCAGCTGGGGCTGGATGCCCAACCCTGGGATCATGACCTGAGCCAAAGGCAGCCGCTTAATGACTGAGTCACCCGGGCGCCCCAAACCCAGCCTTGCTTACACCAAACTTCCCTGATGCCGTCACCCAGGAGGACTCAAGAGTGCCTTTACACAAGAGGAAACTGTCCCCTTGTGTTAGAGAAGGGTTTCTCGAGCTATTGAAGCTATTAGGATTTGGAGCTGGATAATTCCACACTGCAGGGGGCTGTCTTGAGCATTGTAGGATGTTTAGCAACATCCTTAGCCTTTACTCATTAGAAGCCAGTAGCACCTTCCACTCCCACCCCCCAGCTGCAATAACAAAAATTGTCTCCAGACATTGCAAAACTGTCCCCAGGGCAAGGTGTGCGTGTGCGTGTGCGTGTGCGTGTGTGTGTGTGTGTGTGTGTAAAATTACCCCTACTGCTCTAAATTGATCAATCAACAACTGTTCATTGTTGAAAGCTGAAAGACTGAAAAGCACTGCGATGGGCTATTAAAATAATAAAATACAACAGTATTAATATTTAGTGGATACTTAACTATTTGTGTGCCAAGTAAGTTACAAACTCATGGTCCTATAGTCGATAAGATACATTTTTATGCCTCTTCAATTTATTTGTTTATTTATTTATTTATTAAGTAGGCTCCACACCCAGCGTGGAGCCCAATAGGAGGCTTGAACTCACGACTCTGAGATTAAAACAGCTTCATCAAGAGTTGGATGCCTAACCAGCTGAGCCATCCAGGTACCCCTATGCCTCTACAGTAAAAGACTGCTTGCGCACTTGTGTTCCTCACTTAAGAACTGCATTTGGGCCACTGATTATAAAAGTAACAGAAGATCTAAGACTGGGCAATTCTATCATAGAAACAACTAAAGGGCCAGGGGATTAACCCCTGTTTCCAGCTCTGTGTTGCTGCTTTCTGGCTAATAACCTTTCTGGGTCCCACTTCCCTTTTTGTAAAATGGAGAGGATAAGAATACAAAGTTCACCAGCTCTATGGCTGCACACAGTATCCAGAAGAAGAGGAGGGTGGGGATCAGATGAGGTCATGGGTGTGGCAACATTTTATAAAATGCAGAGCAGGAGTCAGAAACACAGATCCTTCCAGAGGTGAGGCAGGTGGTATAAAAATAAGTGGATTTATATTAGTTTGATTCAAGTGCTTTGCATATTTCTAAAATTGGATTCTTTTTCACTTTCCTGAAGCAATACGCCTTTCCCCCATCTTTCCTCAAACACACTGCCATCTGCAGGTATCTTTCATACTCTCACTTTTTAATGGAAATAGAGGTGAAAAACATTTCATTTTCCTCTTCATTCTAAGAACAACAGTGCAAGCATGATGATATAACCACTCGCACTCAGTTTCACTGTCTGGCAAAGGGACTCTGGCAAAGAAAGAGCTCAAGCCCTACCCGAAGGGGGAGCCACTACCCAGATCCCCGAGGACAGGAAACCAAATCTTCAAACTTTTTTTTAAAAGATTTTATTTATTTGACAGAGAGAGAGAGAGATCACAAGCAGGCAGAGAGGCAGGCAGAGAAGCAGGCTTCCTGCTGAGCCTGATGTGGGGCTCTATCCTAGGACCCTGAGATCATGACCTGGGCCAAAGGCAGAGGCTTAACCCAATGAGCCACCCAGGTGCCCCCACGCTGTTTTTTCAAGAGAAGGCAGAAATGAGTAGTTTTAGGCAAAATCTTCCCAGTTTTATAAATTGACTGCTAACTCAGTTAACATTCAAGACAGAAGGAAGGGCCCTTCTTTTAAAATGTAAGTCAGATCATGGGGTGCCAGGGTCCCTCACGTGTGTGTGTGTGTGTGTGTGTGTGTGTGTGTGTGTTGTATACACGAGCTCTCAAAAAAAAAAGCTTAAAAAATAATAATAAAGCATAAGTCAGGTCATGTCATGGCTATGCAAAAATCTACCCCTGAGGCCCCCTGTCTGGACTTTCTGTCTCTGTGCTGGGCAAGGGAGCTTCTGCCTCAGGCTGTTCCCTCATCCTGGCCTCTCCTCCCCCCTAAAATGTGGCTTGCTCCCTCATCTCCTTTAAATATTTGCTCAAAAGTCACCTTCTCAATGAGGCCTTCCCAGAACATCCTGTTTAGAATTGTACATTTCCCCCAAATATGACACTCCTCATTCCCCTTACCCTGCTTTATTTTCCCCTCAGCACTCAGCACCTTGTAGCATACCATATCATTTACTTCTTTGTGACGTTTATGGTGTCTTCCCTTACTAGGATGTAAGCTCCCTAAGGACAGAGATTTTGTTTGCTTTATCTGCCCTATATTCTATGAACCCAGAACCATGCCTAACACAGAGATGTTCAATAAACATTTGCCAAGTTGTGCCTGAGCAGCGCAGTCGGTTACACATCCGACTCTTGGTTTCCACTCAAGTAGTGGTCTCAAGGTCTTCAGATTGAGCCCCATGTGGGGCTCCGCGCTCAGTGCTGAGTCAGCTTGAGAATCTCTCTCCCTCTCCCTGCCGCTCCCACTTGTGTTGTCTCACTCTCTCAAATAAATAAATAAATTATAAATAAGTAAATATTTGCCAAATGAGTGAATTAATTCAATGCTTAAAAACATCTTGGGGTTGGGGGGGGAGTGCCCGGCTGTCTCAGTCAGCAGACTGGGTGACTCTTGACCTCAGGGTTGTGAGTTCCAGCCCCATGTGGGGTGTAGAGACCATTTAAAAATAAAATCTTTGGGGCGCCTGGGTGGCTCAGTGGGTTAAGCCTCTGCCTTCGGCTCAGGTTATGATCTCAGGGTCCTGCTATTGAGCCTCGCCTTGGGCTCTCTGCTCAGCAGGGAGCCTGCTTCCCCCTCTCTCTCTGCCTGTCTCTCTGCCTACTTGTGATCTCTCTCTCTCTCTCTCTGTCAAATAAATAAATAAATAAAATCTTTTAAAAAAATAAAATAAAATCTTTAAAAACATCTTGAAGGGGAGCACCTGGGTGGCTCAGTCGTTGGGCGTCTGCCTTCAGCTCGGGTCATGATCCCATGATCCTGGTATGGAGCCCCACATCAGGCTCCCTGCTCAGCGGGAAGCCTGCTTCTCCCTCTCCCACTCTCCCTACTTATGTTCCTGCTCTCACTATCTCTCTGTCAAATAAATGAATAGAATCTTTAAAAAAAAAAAAAAAGTCTTGAAAGTGAATCAAAATATATCTGAAGGGTTGCCTCAGTTGGTTAAGGGTCTGTCTGTAGCTCAGGTGATGATCCCAAAGTCCTGGGACTGAGCTCCCTGCTCAGCAGAGAGCCTGCTTCTTCCTCTGCCAGCTGCTTCCCTTGCCTGTGTTTTCATTCTGTCAAACAAATAAACAAAGTCTTAAAAAAAAAAAAAAAAAAGATTCCAGGAACCTGGGTGGCTCAGTGGGTTAAGCCTCTGCCTTCCACTCAGGTCACGATCTCAGGGTCCTGCTATTGAGCCCCACCTTGGGCTCTCTGCTCAGCAGGGAGCCTGCTTCTCTCCCTCTCTCTCTCTGCCTACTTGTGATCTCTGTCTGTCAAATAAATAAGATCTAAACAAAATAAAACATATCTGAGTACAAACATAGCCCCAGAATCAGTAGCTGTAAAAAGTGGTATTACCCTTAAGTAATGGTAGGGGAGGGTGTCCTGGGACACACCCACTCCCCACGAGGCTCTACGTAGGGGTCACCCTTAATCCTTTGGGGTGGGAGTTTGAAGGAGTTCAAAGAGCCCATCCAGCAACGTGTAGGAACTTCCTCTTGGCCCCCCAAATCAGCAGAGCTGGAAAAAGTTCAGACATCCCCTCATCCCATCTTTCACCCCAATTCAGGGTGACTTATTTTCCATCTTCTGAACCCCTACTTCCCCCTCCCAAGGAAGTGTGGATGGGAGTGAATGGGGAGCTGAGAGATATGTAATCTTCATCAACAGAGAGTCATTTATTGAGCTCCTAATGTGTGCCAGGCTCCAAGGAGAGCACACAGAGGTATCAGATAAGGTCCCAGCCTTCAAGAAGCTTCTTGAGGGGAGGGGAAAGGGAAAGGGGGTGGGTAGAAGCCAGTGTCAATCACAGGCGTCCCTCTTCTCTCTGGTTGCCTTGGGAAGTAGAAGGGCCCACAAAGGGACAACTTGAACAGG